ATTAACTGGTCCGTATTTTGAACTTGAAACGTAGTACGATTTTGAAAAACACCTATTGTTCTGGTTGATGTCTGTTGGAAAAGGTCTTGACGACTGTAAAGACCCCATATCAAGAATTTGACGTTTTTCGTTATCACTTAATATTTTGTTCGTGAAGTTTCCCAAGTCATAAGAAGATTTATCGTACACATTTTCAGAAAATGTAGAGGTCTGTAGTTACTCCAAATCCTGCAGTTGCAAAACCAACACTGCAGTTACCACATTATTTGAGTCACTATCAATAGAAATATTTTATCCAGAAGTAGGTACTTGTAGAAGAAACTTGTCAATTTTGGGAAATTTTTGTTTACTATCTTCTCTTTCTTGTCGTTTTCTGCGTTTAAATACACCACTGGATTTCTTCTTTTTGTCCATAATATTAGTTTTATAATTTATTTATGCAATATTTATATTAGATTGTGCTCGACTCACTATTCACCGACGACGTTAAAAGTAAAAGAAAGGAAGTAAAAGAAACGCAATGATACGCTACAAGACATCATTGTGGAATCCCCGGCGAACATTTTACCGCGTTAGTGTTACCACATTAGGTGGAGACCAAGAACGATCTCCTCGCGCGCGGGCCTGAATTAATGCACCTACTGCAGGTGACCTACATTTTTTCACGATATTTCGCGTTATACTGTGAGTAGCCGAAATCTATAGATTTGACATGATTTGTTGACGTAACGGACATCAATATGAGTGGTACTAAAATCAAATAAAATTGAACTAGTATATTGACCGGTACTGAAAAGTTTATTGACATTAGCTCACTTACTACTGATACAGTATAAATTTTTTAACCGTTCTCGAAAAAAAAATCTTGACTCGGATTAACAATAAAACGCATATCGATCAATAATAAAACGTAGATATCGCTATCCGTCAAATTGACAACACTGCCAGTGCACGTGAAAGAATTTAGGGAAATTCCCTGGGTATAACTTTCGAATTTCTCTAAACTGAGTTGCCATGATTAATGTCGGGTTGCAACCTGTCATATTTATTTTGAAAATGGGAGACATTTTTAAAAGTTTGGTTCGATCGAGATTTCCTGTTAAGGATTCGGGGGCCCCTGAGCTTGAGGGCCCCGGGGCACTGCCCCGCCTAGCCCCTAGGTAGCTACGCCACTGAATAAGGGTGACAAACGAGCACACAGTCCACCCGATGGTAAGTGGATACTGTGGCCCATAGACTCTTACATTTATTCTCTACAACGATGTACAGATGCGTCGTCATCTCTGAGGAATTAGAATGCCTAGTTTTTAGTAAAGAGGATGTCCGGCTCTCCACACTCACCATACGAAACTAAGCAGCATTGAGCTGCGTTTACACTGGTATTCTGAGAGAGCATGGCCCTTCCCCGGTCGGGCCGATCCATTCGTGCTACCACCATAATAGCTGCGGCATGGCTCTATCACTTGTTAATAACATGTTTATTGGTGTGCATAGTGCTCATAAGCATTATAAAGTAGTGTAGCCTAGGCCTGCTGAACACAGGCCAGCACTCAAAATTCTCTATTTGAACAGGGTTTCTAGAGCAGAGAAGTATGCCGCGTTGCCGTAACTTCAGATGTCCTCGATTTTTTTTTAAATTTCCTTGACACAGTTTTGCTATATAAAATTACAATTAAGTTTCATTGTTGCCGGCAGGGACTGTAGGTACTTGGTTTCAGTGGCGAAGCTTCCATTAAAGCCGAAAAGCCGGGCTTGCCTTATTAAACCTGAATCAATCAATAATATCAACTAATAAAATAACTCGTAAAATATTTCAAGCAATTTCAAATTTCCCGCGCACTCCACTGTTCGACGCATGTCGATCGATGACCTCGTATTGCCTTAGCGATACTGCTGCTGTCATAAAAAATGAGTTTTAAAATAGAGCTAATAGTTGTCTCCCTCGCTCGCGTGGGCATTTTACGGGGTTTTCGAGAAGACGATCGCTCTCTTTCTAACCTATGGCAAAATATTCTATAATGAAATATAACTACGATTGTATATGTAATAATTAGTATAGAGATTTAAAGCCAAGCTTTTGGGAATAAATTTGTTAAAAGCGGAGGCGCGCGGGCAATACGTTTGCAAGTTCATTTCACGTTTCAATGTTTATTTACTCTGTGTGCTTATCTTAAGCGATTTAATAAATATTACGAGTTCAAAATTTATGCTTTTTTAAAGATTTTTAATGAAAATGGAGGATAATAGTGTTCCTTGTGATGAATTGAAGTGTGCTAAAGTAATATCGGAGAGGAAATCTTTAAACTTTGTTGAGATAATACACAAGGTTAAGAGTGTATTTTCAGTCTTATCAATTATCGCAATTAAAAAACAGTTATTGGTACAATTAAAACGTTCACCAACATTTTACGTGGACGTAATTAAATCTTTCCATAAGAAAGCGAGACGATTCCACTTATCTTATCTCTTATCCATTAGAATGTAAATAATTTTTTTTAATTTTTATTTTGTACATAGTTTGTTTGTACTTTGTTCATGTTTTACTTTTGTTCATGTATTGTATTGGATGTAAATATTTTTTTTCTTTCGCTTAAACAAATCCAAACGGCTTTCTTCAAAGCCACCGAAGCTATGCAATTGCTGATATGTAATACAATCTATCTAGCAGTGGTAGGTATGCCTTCTGTGTGCTTTGTTAAACACGTCCTTGACAGCACTGAATATGAAACTGAAGCGTGGAGACAGATCAAGATTGGTGTATTTTTATAAAACTGCTAAAAACAACAATCTATATTTTTATCAATTTATATCTTGGGCTTGCCCTAGCTTGGAGCTCTAGCTTCGCCACTGCTTGGTTTGCCTACGAAGGCATGAACTTTAAAACGAGCGCTTAAAGGCTCTTGAGAGTTGTACCAATTTAGACTACCTATCTTTATAAAATTAGTATCATAGACAAAATAATTAAGCTAATATATTGCTGTAGCTTACATTAATTGCATAACTGATCAAAATGAATTAATTTTTAATTTTTTTAAACTTTATATTCATACATGTGTTTATATTATTACAATTTCCGCATTAAGGCGCGTAACCCGGGTGGACCACGCCCGGTCTAACCCCCGTGACCTACTTGCATTTGGGAATAGATGCCTGCACGCCACGCGAATTTATTGCGCTTTAAAATTTATTTCCGTTTAATATATGACAGATGAAATGGCATCTTTTTAAGGTTATAAATAACTGAATACATTTTGTTTTATTAGGAGTAATATAATGGTGTTGAAATAGTATATTTGAAGAGTGATTAGTATTTTTGTAACTTATAATATTCTTTGCACTTGTAAATTGTATTGCATATCTGAATTTAATCCAGATAAGCGTGAAAGGAAGAAATAGTTCTCTAGAGGTAATAATTAGGGATGGGCCGAATATGGATTTCACCGAATATGAATATTCGGCCGACCGTTCGGTAAAATTTTTACCGAACCGAATATTCGGCCGAACATTATTCGGCAGGATTACCTCGGTATTCCTAACCAATTTATGTCGAAACTTGTTACCATAAAGCGCGCTGGATTAGCGTCAGAGCCTTCCCCTTGCTCCCCCGCCACACCTGACATGTTATTGCATCATCCAGTACTGAGCAAATTGCCGGCACATACTTATGTTTTGACTATTTTTGTGAGTAAAAAAGTATTCTTAGTGAAGATTGATAAGTATGTGATGAAAATGAGTGGCAGGACAGGAGATCTACTATTTGGACCAATTTTAGAGAAACTGACGACTGTAATGTTATGTTTCTTTGATTCCAAAAAAAACTTTATCAAGCCCTCTATTTGCTATAATTGAAACTAAATCTACAGTGCCTCAAAAAGATAACGCTATACAAGTAGATTTAACCCATAAATAAATATACTTTGAACAGTAAAATTATGAAAGACATGGCGTTACTCAATTCGTACATTTTCATACAGTGGATACTTTGAGTACCACTTTAACGAATATTCGGTGATTTAGCCGAATATTCAGCCCACCTCTAGTAATAATCACACAAAAAAATCTGAAGTATTTCAACCATACATAATATGGCAAAGTCAATACAACAATCTGAGCCTTCGAACACCTTGGAAATGATAATAAATGAGTACAATTATTTCCAAAACAGTCGCGAGACTTAAGTATACATATATTTTGTGAATCGCTTTATGTTTTAAGAAATAAGTTAAAACAGTGGTTTAAAATCACCAGACATTTAATAAAATAATTCTTTATTTTTGGATATTATAGTGGTTCTAACTTATTGTAAATTGGATAACTATTCGAGTCTTTACAGCATCTATGGTCACGGGGGACAAAGCACTCAAAATTTAAAGTAAAATAAATGCGATTAAAAACCAAAAAAATAGTTTGTTACGGAATGTACTTATTATTCACGTTAAATATAAAAATAATGCCTTTGATAATAAAGTTAAAGCTGAACATAGGCCCTAGAAATTTGCCATAGATGTCATCCTTGACAAGCAGGTTGGCAACCGCAGTATTTTTTATACAGATCCTATCGGAAAGATGCTGTTTCTCGTTGTTTTTCTCAGTCGCTTCTGTCGCCCTACGTTCTTCCCTATGTTATTAAACCGCCATCACGGTTATAGATGTTAGCATTTATAATGATTTTGAAGCAGCACGACTGGGAGCCCTGTTAGCTGGGCGCTAAGCTGTCGTCGTTACACATTATGTGAGTGACCGTGTACAACTTCCACCGGCGTCAGTAAAACTATTAATATTAATTGGAACTTTAAGGAAGGGAAACATCCTGAGGAAACTTGCATGTTTGAGGAATAAAATATTTTGAGGACTTGAAGTCGGCCACGCATTATTGGGGTAGCGCGACTGACTTCACTTGTACTGCTTTAACGCAAATGAAGTTAATGGAACGGCAATTAAATACGTATCAATTTCCATTTTTTTTTTCTAAATTTGCAATATTTTCTTTATTGTTGTAGAGTGGAGCGGTGGCGGTAATGGCGAGTATCGTGTTCGAAGGCAGCTGTCGGTGTCATCAGATTCCAAACTCCTAGACGAGGGAGCGCGGGAGGACGCGCGGGTTGTAATGAGGCCCAAGCGGCCGCCGAGGCCTAAATCCGAGGCCTACCTCGGCCCTCACGAACACAATAATCGACGTACGAAGCGGTTTAGTGCCTTTGGGGTAAGTGTGTGGTCCGCGTAGATTTTATTGCGAACCATATTCTTGGTGGTAGGTATATTTATTCATTAACGTTATGAGAGTAATCAACCATATAGGTGATATTATGGTACTCACTTTTCCTTTACCTATCTACTCGATGTCCGATGTAATGTGATAATATCGTAGTTCGGTTAGAATGCAGTTTAGTCGAAACTGCAAAAGAAAAAAAATGCTGGATTATGATTTATGACTGAATTTTAAGCACAAGATCCACGGCCTGGATATTCTGGTTTTTAATGTGTATAAAATTGATAATAATTTTAAATTATTACGCGGAACACTGTGTAATGGCGGTGTAAGAACAATCTATATCGTCCTGTTGGTTTTGTAAGAAGTGACACAGAGGGACACAAATTAGGAGATGGGCAACGGCATCTTTCTAACTAAAAAAAAAACCCCAAGCCCGTTAAGCGTGCTAGGGCAAATATTCACTACGCGATGGGGGAGACCTGTGTTCAACAGTGGACTTTTTCGATAGGGTGTAACGGTAAGGGTACGGAACTTATAGTTATTAATGTGTCAGAGGTTATTAATGTCTTAATTCACTTTGTTGTGTCCTATTTGCTGTCCTAAACACGAACAGGGAAGTTGTAATGACTAAAATAAATAACATCATGCTCTAAGAACAGAGGACAATTGTGCAAACAAAATATATTCGTAGCGACTTTCACTGTTGCAGACAGATGGAAGATTATCGTACGTTATGTATGACGGCAATATAGAAACAGTTTGTACGGCACAGTGTGACGTTGACAGTAATTTATCACGAGTTCCGCGTTATGTGTTAATGTTCCACAATGTGTTGTTTATAGGAGCAAAAGATCGAAGGAAAGTGGCATTTTTTTTTCATTGATCTCTCATATAGACACCTGGGAACTTTTTAAATCATATGGATTGTTGTTCTTCTTTGCAGTTATATGGTATAACTCAGTATCACTTATATATCTGTAGGCGTGAGTTTGTTTGCTCAGTTTTATCTGCATTGTTTTTATTAGGCAGTTGCGTAACAAGTAAAGGTCTCGACCCACTGCTATGACTCATATATACTATGAAAGTGCTATGAACATGCAATGAACGTACTATATTATATATCCGGTACGAAAAAACACGGTAGTCGCTACTTAACGTAAACGAACGTATCAACAGCGTGACAAAACCGTATACAACGCGTTCAGTTCCCGTATCATCCCTGTTCAATATGTGTATGATGTCCGTTATATCGTTGTATTGTAGCATATTATGTTCAGTTATATATTATTTATAGAATATGGGTGACAAACGTGCACACAGTCCACCTGACGGTAAGTGCATGCTGTGGCCCATAGACATCTACATCTACCCTCGATTAAGAATTAAAATGCAGATGCGTTGTCACCCCTGAGGACTAAGATGAAATGCCTCGTTTCCAGTAAAAAGGGTCTCTGGATCTCTACACTCAATATACGAAACACAGCAGTATTAAGCTGCTATTTTACGCTGGTATTCTGTGAGAGCGTGGTACTTCCCCGGTCGAGCCGACCCATTCGTGCTACAACCATAATATAGCAGCAGCGTGGCTCTACCACGTATATATATATATATATATATATATATATATATATATATATATATATATATATATATATACGTGGTAGAACCACGCTGTATGTGTATGTACATATATTTGGATACAATTGGAAATTAATTATAGTGTTAGAGAACTAGAAACGATTGCTATTATATTAGGTAACGGTGAGTAATATGCATATACGCATAGAGTGATTGGATAACGTAACACACGGAGCGTATCAGTACTTGCCCAAATATTTTCGTCGCTGTCGGTTCGTTGATGGCATGATACGGTGTTGTTCGGTGACGGAACGGTCTAGCAGGGTTTGTTGCAGTTTCGTCATAACTAATAAATAATCTTAATAATAACAATAAAATGGCAAATATAAACTATGAGGCAGTATATGGCTGTAATGATAATGATGATGATAAAAAAATAATTACAAAATTACCAAAACTGTTTTGAGGTTAAAAAGAAGCTAATGAAAACGATATACATTTTTAATTATCCGCTTTTAAGCAACGCAAGCATTATCTAGTGTAGACCAATAATAAAGGGAAAAAAGCAAAAGAAATAAGCTTTTGGCAAACGCATTGTCTTTTTTGGATCTCGTTAACTTTTTAAGTAAGATCAATTTGTCATTTTATCGTTATTGAAAATTATATAGGTCTCGTGCCTATTGAGTAAGTCGCACAAAATATTTAAATACGAAGTTAACATGAATTTTAAAAAGTGCTCGTATTCAGCGCGAAAACTGATGTTCCTAGCTCATTTCAATAAACTATTTCTACACTGGACGGTTCTCTCCGTCTAAACAATTAATCACCTGTGGAAATGCAGTAGAAATCCTGACGTCCGCCTGTAAACGTCCGTTGCGTCTCCATAGAGCAAAGCAGCATTAGACAAGTCAAATATTTACGCAGACGCGAGTGCGGGCGACGAAAGCAAAACGGTGTAGTGGGAGGCTATAAGTAGTGATACTCCACTCGAGTAATCGTTATAAACAACCGCACCAGCCCGGGCTGTTTTATTTTATAACATTGTAAGAGTTCCTTTGTTTAATGTTTGTGTTATTGAAACTATCATTATTTGATATTACTACTTTTCAACGATAGTGAACTCATTAACCTTGACGAAATTTAGATATTATTCTTAATAGGGTTATAATTAACCGCTTGGTTTGCTGGATTTCACGTAATTACTTTAACTGCATAATTGGTAGTAAAATGCTCGTTTCTTTGTTACGATAATAGTTATTGTATGCTATAAAAATATGGGAATAATATTGTCGATTCAGAAAGGGTAGACAGGTTAGAGGCATATTAAAAAAAACCGAATATTCTGTGGCATAATTATAATATGGTGGTTGAATTTTTTTCGATAATAATAGGAATTTGTCAATTGTTGCAAAATGTGGTTGTGGTTGCCGACGTACCCGTACCCGTACGTGTAGTTACACTTAATTGTCCTGTTGATTATTTCTACTTCAAAATGATATTCAATATTTTATGTCCAAAAAGGATTGCTGACTCTAGATAACAGCTCTTTAGGTGTATAGTGCCGTAAGTGTTTGCTAAATATAACGACACTTCTTTTAATTAAACTTGTCGTTGCCATGGAACAACTTATTCATGCGACGATAAAACAGACTTGATACCTTAAACAATTATTTTACGTAGTCATTTTAGTGTGCTCGCTAAATACTAAGGCCTCGTTACCGATATAAATGGTGTCCTTTTCCTATTACTAACCGTAGGAAATACCGTAGCAATATGTCGCTGTTTTACATTTGATCTGCTATTTAGTTAACTTCCACGACGTAGTGCTAAGAGCATATGGCCACTATGCTGTGGATTCCACATTCGAAATTCAGCAGAAGTCAACATTTGTGCAAAAATATCGCACCACGCTGTATTATGGGTTCCCCGCCAATTGATCGGCGCGACCGGGGAAGGATCATGCTTTTACAGAAAAACCATCATAATTAAGCAGCATAATACTGCTGTGTTTGGTATAGTGAGTGTAATGAACCGGAGACCCTCTTTACAGGAAATAAGGCAGTCTCAGTTCTCAGTCCTCAAAGGTGACAATATTTTGATTCGAAATCTTTGATGTAGGCGTCTATGGACAACACTATAAATTTATCACAAGTGGATATTGTATTCGTTCATCAACCATTTCATCCATTCATTTAATAAAGCTCATCAAGGGTCCACTGCTGAACTAGACCCCATACATTGCCTAATACGCAGGTTATAAGTGCCATGGTTGCCAACACGGATAGGGTTGGCAACCCTAATTTTTTATAACTAATATTGAGTTATTTATTAGAAAGATGCTGCAACCCATCTCCTGTTTCAGTTTTCCTCTGTGGTCTCTTACGACACCCATGGAATGCATGCATGGAATATTCCTACTTCTTATAAATCTTTCTAGTAGTCACTTCTATAAAATAATTGTTAGATTTCAAATTTAATTTTTGCGTTATTGTTTCCGTGTTTGACACAGACTTAGTTACTTCTTAACTTAAGAGTTAAAAGGGACAATAAGGCCCGGTTCACATTTTGAAAAGTGACAAGTGCGAGTGGCAAGTGCAACTGACAAATGACAAGTGCTTAGCGCGTGTGAACAGGCAATGACAAGTGACAAGTGGGAATAAAATACGCACTTTTCACTTCTCACTTGCCACTCGCACTTGTCACTTCTCAAATAGTAAACCGGGCCAAACGTTTCTGTGGCAGTATAATTTCTGATTGTTATCATTTATCACGTTTTTAATTCAATAGTCGTAATAATTACAGCCTAAATCTGATAAAGAATATTTTCTTCTTCTTCATCAGTCCATAAACTCTTAGTGCTGAACATAAACGTGGTAGAGCCATGCTGCAGTTATATTAGTAGTATAGTTGTAGCACGAATGGGTCGGCTCGACCGGGGAAGGACCACGCTCTCACAGAATACCAGCGTGAAATAGTAGCTTAATGCTGCTGTATTTCGTATGGTGAGTGTAGAGAACCGGAGACCCTTTTTACTGGAAACGAGGCATTCCATCTCAGTCCTCACGGGTGACAACGCATCTGCATTTTGATTTTTAATGGAGGATAGATGTAGATGTCTATGGGCCGCAGCAACCACTTACCATCAGGTGGACTGTGTGCTCGTTTGTCACCCTATTCTATATAAAAAAAAAACTTATCCCATTGTAGGGAGAATTTGTCTTATTCAAGCTTGCCAACTTGCCACTTACTGTATGTTGGCGATGTAAGGATATCCACTACCCCACATCATCCTGTGGGAGTCGTAAAAGCCGACGGAGGGAAACAATTCAGAAGATGGACGGTAGCGTTTTCCTAATAACAACTAAAATAAAAACTGTAGCAACTATAGGCAAGCTATGGGGAGGCATATATTCAGCAGTTGACTTTAATATGTTGCAACGGTAACGGTAAGTTTGCCAAGAAGTACCAAACTTTTGAACATATGACTGCTCTCGGTGGTTTGCGTATTTTACTATCTATCAGTATCCATAAGGTCTAGCCGACATACTTTTCAGTCTCTAGCCATATCTGATCTCACGACATCATCATTATGGACGACAATGAAAGCCACGGTGAGGTACTGGATACAAATCAATTTAACGATAAGACGCGCGATAATAATAGTAGGCATTGCAGTTTTTCATTTTTTAGATTCATATTTTAATTGCTGGTATCTTTCAATTCTTGACTGCACTGTTTAAAACAATTTCAATTCCTGCACTGTTTAAAACAATTTTTATCCAAATAAATTTGAGCCTCAATCGACAAAGTCGATAGATGCGAGGAGAGTTCGTAAAGTAAATAAATGAATCAATAAAACCAATCAAGCCAAAGCGACTCTAGTAGTCTCCAAATGCCAGCGTTTGCATCATAAATTAAGATTAGTCAAGCGTAGCGCGTTACGTCTCGTACGGTGATAAATGGATGCTGTTCTCTTTGTCAACAGGGTGATTCTCCGTTCGGGAAATCAGAAGCGTATATGAAACTGGAGCAACTGGGCGAGGGATCTTACGCAACGGTCTACAAGGGTTATAGCAAGTATGTATGCATTTATAATATATACTTTTAAAGTAATTTTTTATATTTCGACGACCCTTTAGCGCAATATATTTTGCTCTATGCAAATTATTAAGCAATGCATTTTACTCTGTAAGTTTAAAATTCGTTTATTATACGAGATAAGTGTTTGTAATTACCATCATCATTACAGCCTTTCACAAGTTAACTGATGAAAATAGGCCTCTCATGAATGCAACAAAAAACCAAAATCACCTGTATCTATCCTTTAACAAACGAGCACACAGACCTACCGATGGTAAGTGGATACAGTGGTCCATAGACATCTACATCAATCCTCGACACAGAATCAAAATGCCGATGCGTTGTCACCCTTGAGAACTAAGATGGAATGCTTCGTTTCCAACAAAAAGGATCTCAGGTTCTCTACATTCACCACACGAAATACAGCAGCGTTGAGCTGCTATTTTACGCTGGTATTCTGTAAGAGCGTGGTCCTTTCCAGGTCAAGCCGACCTATTCATGCTACAACTATGATATAATTATTGTAGCAGGGCTCTACATCGAATATAAGTTTGTGCCACTGTTTTTTAAATTTATTATAGACATTTTCGTTAACATTTAATCAATGATATGAATTTAGAACTCGGAAAAACTCATCTACTCGTAATTATGTAAAAGATAACGGGTAACATTAAAACTATAAAGCGGACTACCTGGTATTATATTCTCTTATACTTTACTATTTCAATGATTTTTCATGTTTTCAACTGAATCCCTTCTATTCGAGTGCTTTACAGCTATCGAAGTTACGGGGAAATGACATATGTGCAACGTGACATTGTCATAGTTAACCCTGCCTACCTTGAGCTTAATATACTATTTAAAATTATATTATATAATAATAGACATAGTATTATTTAATTATGCATAGGATCAGGCGCAAATTTGCGGAAATAAAGTATATTAAAGATTTAAATCAAACTAATTTTTACGGATTTTATCGTATATATTAACTTTTTTATATATTCCCGACGTTTCGAGTACTTTACAGCTTAATTTAACGTTTAAAATTTAAAGTGGGGTAACCGCGGTTAACTATGACATAGAGACGTCGAACGCCTCAGTCCCCCCCCCCCCACCGTGACCATGGGTGCTATAAAGTGCTCGAAACGTCGAGAAAATATAAAATAGTTAATATACGCGATAAAATCCGTAAAAAGCGTTCGCGTAAATATAAGAAATTATATATTAAACATGTTAAAAATTAATTAGCTAAGATCCACGTAATAAAACAAAATGATGAGTCACGCCTAGTTCTAAAAGCACCTCCCGCCCTCCCTCAATTGCGCGCATTATCCCTGTCACCACTAATCCCAACTCCACTACACTAAGAAAGACACGGCACACCACCGTTCATAATAACGTCACGTGATTCGCTTCTAAAAGAAGGTGAAATATTAGCGGTCAGCCACACATTACGCGGATCTTGGCTAATTATTTTATAACATCTTTAAAATAATAATGCGTTAAAAATAGTTTTATTTAAGTTATCTTCACACTTTTCAGGCAAAATGTACGGAGATTTCTGTGATTTTGGTGTGTACTTTGTTCGTGTTGAAAACTTAATTAGTCACCGTCATGTGGTTTATTAGTGACAACATTCTAACTGAATTTCACAGTATTTAAATGAAGCGGCGAATAATACCGTAATAAAATTATTCCGTTTTGGTGATTTCATGGGGCGTGACACAATGTGATTGTTTTCGCATAATCTTTGAACAGAATTTGTGTAAACTGTAAACAGCGACTATCCACGGGTTTTATGTAATAAATGTGTGTTAAAATTTGATTCAGATTAACTTTGATTTCTGCATAATATGCTGCAATTTAATTTAGGCATTTTATTATTATTAAACACGACGTAATTTTCACGCTTGTTAGATGGTTTGGTGAGTACTGGACCAGTACCAGACATTTGTAAATCATCATTTTCTTATTCTTTATCACGTTATTTATCACCGAAATTATACGGAAGCTCTTTCATTCAACGACACGGTACCGATATTGTGGTGATAATACAGAACTCTTACAAGTTATTGTATTTATTCAATTTGACAGACAACAATTTATATTTATTATATTATCTGCTTTATCTATGTCGCAAAAAAAGAAGAAATATTAAGATTAGTTTTGGTGACATCCAGTTCTTAAAGTGAGACGCATTGAAGGAGCTTATTTATACATTTTTTGAGAAGCTAGGCGACGATCCGATCGAATTTTGCAATTTTAGACAACTTTATATATTCACGTATAATAAATAAACAAGCAACATACATTTACCCTAATTCCTTTTAATCCTTCTAATTATTTACCTTAGTGTCTGGTCCTTCTTATAGTGGAAGTTTCCACCACGAAAGCGAAAGCACCACGCGTTAGTCGTATAATATACTCTCCAAACGCAGCATTAATATTGCGGGCTGAATTTGTTGCGTTATCCTCTCGTCAGTCCAAAACCTTCTAAAGGTTGCTATTAAAAAAGTTCGCGTCTGTCCACAACCTTTAAAAGGTTGCTATTTACTTATAAACTTCAGACACGAAACAGCCGTAGTAAACGTATACATATCACCCTCTAACTCGCACAAAATTGTTTTAATATCATTAACCTACTTATTTCGGTATGGAATTGTCGCTATTGAAGTACAAAATGTGCCTTTTTTTGTGCCTGTTTCGGGTCATCTTAAGTGGCCCACATTATTGTGGAGCTTGTGGTGTAAAAAAAATGTACGCGGAGTTGTGTTTTTTTTTTATTAATTATTGTAAAGTGTATTATCTTTTGTAAATAAAATATAATATTTATTGAAATAATAATAATAATTATTTTTTACATTTTTTACTCAATAAACTGGAAAAATCGCTTCTAGCATTTTTATCATGGAATTTAGAAAATATAAAAAAAGGTGAACGTACACATTTACACATATTCTATTAGCTTACTCAACAATAATTCTAACAACATATTATTTTATACAGTTTCCATACATAATTATTAAGATATTGCCATTTTAATGACACGCGCCACGTAGGCAATAAATCACTTGTTTAGGGTCGGACAGATGCGCCAAAGCGGGCATTTTGGCCGGGATAGTTGAGAGGATAAATTAGGAAGTCACATATTAGGACATAAATAACCATTTTCAGAATTTTCGTCTGTCTGTCTGTTTGTCTGTCTGTCTGTCTGGTTGTCCTGGCTAATCTTCGGAATTTGAAACTGTGATGAAAACTTTACGAACAGAAGGAAAGTCAGGAAAAAAGCCAGATTAATAAGATTTCCATTTTCATTTAAGATTAGAATTTATACATTTTTTTCTTTGCTTATCTTAAATCTGAATAAAACTACATTAATAGATCCTATGCAGGCGAAGCCGGGGCGGGTCGGTATTTTAAAATAAATTTTAATTAAAGAAGTGGCCACTTAATTAAAACGACAACTTTATACTTTATTTCTTATTATAAACAAGCAGTACTTGTTCGCTTCAATGGAAATGATATATTATGTAATGTTTGTTTACGTCACACATTCTTGTCTTTTCGGTACGATAATAGTATGGAAAGTGGACGTGATACCGCCATGTATACGACAATAAAAAATAATCATACGTCAACTCCATACATATTAGGTGCTCCGATATCTGTGACTCTGTATGGCGACGATAAATCGTGATCGTATCGGTCAATAAAAAAACGCTTTAAAAGCTCAATTGCCGCATTGCCGGTCAGGTTACTTAATTATTTTTCAATTATTCTCCTTCTGTTACTCTACTGTTGCATAAAAGAGATTATAATCGATTTTAATTAATAACCATTTTACTTACGATAAGTCTCTTATTTCATTGGAGCAATTAAGTGTAAAAATAGATTTCAATTAAATACTCTGCGCACAATGATATTGTATTTGAGTTAGTTTCTACTTCACATTACAATAAGACGCCATGAAGCGTGTTGGCGAATCCGCATAAATAACCTGCAACGTAATATTGTATGGAAATAGCAGTACTTGTCTCCCACACAATCCCTACATAATTATGCAGTTGTTTAGCGCATTTGTACTGATGTTCTTGTTATTTTTAGCTGCATCTCGTATTAATTGTTAAAATGTTCTGATTTTTATGTTAGTTATATATTCATAATGTTCTGTTTTTTATGCTTTTTAATGCTTTTTATAAGCGTAAATAATAAAAAGAATGTAGTATAAATAGTAACGGTTCGGACGGTTCGACAAAAATGAGGTTGTGAAGTCAACTATTATTATACTTACTACTTAACTATATAAGTTATGGCTACTAGACGCCAACTGTTCAGTGATGTCTCAGTGATCGCAAGGGTGAAAACTGGCAGCGATCACCGAATGGTGAGAGACACACTGAAACCAAATGTTAAGTTCGTGCTCTAATCGAAGGTCCCGAAAACTCTCAGCTCGATTTAAAAAACCGTTTTCAGTGCCTTGAAGGCTGCAATACGGTGGACGATATGAATGACAAACTCGTGGAAAATGTCCATCCGGTTGGAGCTAAGTTCTGAAAAACTCGTCAGACACAAGAACTCTCCGATTACACTCTTAATATTATGGTTGTAAGACGAGAAATGAAGCTGCATTCTTCAGCAGATTTGACAGCATACTGGCATCTGAACGGACAGATCTGCAAATGCATACGGCGGGATTTACGTAATTTCAATACAACTAGTATTGATGAAGCGATCGGATGGAACCAGGGCTCCAAAATCTTTGCCAGAGATCTGTCTTCCAGAAAAAGCCAACTGTTGAAGCTGAAGAACGAATGTGGCAGCATCGTTTCCGGGACACCTGAGATTTTGAGTGAGATTGAGGAGTTCTATGGGCAGCTGTACACGTCATCGTTGGAGCCACAAGCAAGTGTGAGTAACAATTAGAAGGGCAAGTCTTATACGACCACTATTCAGAAGATATCCCGGACGTCAGTCTGAGTGAGATAAGAATGGCT